AACCAGCGCTCTGTGTTTGTGTTTTAATCGTGTACAGGTGTTGCCTTGGTGACTCCACATGAGTCAGAAGAAGTGCTTCTGTTTGCTGGTTGTCGTGGAGGATTGTAGGAACCAGGCTGAAAGGAGGGCGACCTCACCCTCACTGACATTTATAGTTTGCACTGAGTCGATTCAGCAGCTCTTTATGTTGTTTGGTGCTGGAGAGTGAACAGGAGGCGCAGAGAGCATATCGATAGATCATGGTACCTGGTTTTATCTTATTCATGGTGACTAGTACAGTGCTGCTCTGCCACTGGGCTGCAGCCAGTAAGTAGGTCGCTGATTGTCCTGTTTGGGCTGCACCTCTTACTGTTTCATGTAATATAAGGACCTTGTTGTCTATTGTTGTGTAGACGGAGTCTTTGTAACCTAAAGCTAATTTAAAAAAGAAATTTAATATTCCAGGATCTTAACATTTCACATCAGACTCAAATGATCCAGTAGATTTAATCTTATGTTAATTTTAAAATGATGTTCTGCCCTTTAACCAGTGAATATGATGAATGTCAGCTCCTTTTTATTTAATTTATTTTACATTAACACAAGGAAAGTGATTTTTAATTGTTTTGCTGAAGCTTATGTGTTTTCTCATTTACAATCTTTGCTGATTTTTATTTAAAATGATCAGTTTACTATATGATTAAACACATCAGTTTGCAAATGTGCAAAGTGAAGTCAGATTGGGGCTCTGATGCAAAAAGCTGCCAAGATGCTAAACCTGGTGATTATCTATCTGATCTCACCGTATGTGCAGAGGGAGTCATCTGTGGAGCTGATGGAGCTGGGGAACAGCACCGCCTGTAGGCACCCGTTCATGTTCAGCTGGGGCAGGGACATCGCATTCTTGATGATGGGGGAGACGTCTGGTGGGGGGAAGGACAGGTCCTCTCGTGGCTGTGGCCCGGAGTTCTTCCGTACGTGCCGAAATGTGCGTGTGAAGAACCTGGTCGTTTTGGAGCCGTTTGCTGAGTCTGGACTTCCGGACTCCCTGGTGCCCCCATAGCTGCTAAGGAAGGAAGTGTCACCAAACACGTCCCCGCCACGGCCAACATGCATGGTATGTCGGAAGTCACCCAGCGGCGGGCTGATCATGTCTACAGAGAGGTCACTCTGGAAGCGACGCTTGCCCTGAGAACCAGACACCAGGCCCTTAATCCCTGGCAGTTTTCCCAGACTCATGCTGGAAGACAAGTTGTAGAATTTCCCTGTGACTTGTATGATGGTGTCTGAACCTTAGCGTGAGGTCCACTGTAAAACCAGAGAGAAACAATTAAACTGCCAGGACACGGAGGACAGAAAACACAAAGATGTGGTTGTTCAGTCGGCACAGAATGTGTGCACAATCCATTCTCCACACGGCCAGAGCCAAGTGTTCATCCACAGCTGCTCCCCGTTTGGCCTTGTGTATCTGCACTGAAAGATGCCAGTGTGGCTGAGTCATTTACATCCCCTTCTGTTCCTTCTGTCTCTCTGCCCCCATCTCGTACTGCATGTCTGTCCAAAGCTGGATGTTCAGATCACTCTTCCTGCACAGCAGCTACTTTAATCTTAATAACAAAGATGAATCAGGAGGTGACACTTTGTTTCCTGTGGTGACCACAGGTTATGTGGCTCAAGACTCTGGGGCTTTATCTCTTGTTAGACCTGGAGAACTATGTTGTCATTAGTCTCAGGCTGTGGTTTACTCCCAGCACTAAATGAATCAAATTATATTTAATTTGCCTTTCACCTAAACCTGGATGAAAACCAGTAGCATTTCAAAGTAAGACTGACACTTGCTGAAGTTTATAAATAGCTCTGTTAAGGAAACATAACTGATTGAGTCACTTTAAGCCAATTTTTTCAGACTGTGTGACTCAGACTTCTATTATTTAGGGATTAGGTGAGCGTACAAGGATCAGTCTGCTCTGGTCTAAACTCAGCCCTGTGGTTCTTTGACCTAACGTTATCCCGCCTACGCTGCCTGGGTTGTTCTCAAGCAGTGATGAAAGAAGTGCATGACTAATCATTAATTGGAAGAACTTCATGCCTTCGTTTCCTGATTGGTCATCATGTTCTACATCTCTCCTCTCTTCTCCTTAACGATTCAGAAACGTCCAGTAAATTTCTACAATCCTACACTTTTAAAGAAATTAACTCACTAAACACTGCTGACTGTCTCCACTTTGTTTCTTACTGGCACTGAGTCCTTCTGCATGTGTGTTCAACCGATCTCAACTTCTGAGAGGATCTCGTGTGTCTCATCCGATAAGTTGTTGTCTTCCTCAAAGTCCAAGCAGAGACAGACAGAGACAGAGAGAGAGAGCGAGGTCCACTGCCATGCACTGTGCTCCACTAAAGAGGTTTATCCATGTGTAGCACCACACTGTCCACGGGACATCCTGCACCAGGCCTGTTGCTCTTTGTTGTCGTCTGTTCCCTGGTCCCTCTGCACCCACCACCTCTGAGAGGAAATGAAAACAATCAGAGCGAAGGAAAAAGGAGGGTGGTGCTTTCTTGAAAAGGCCAATAAATTAAAGTGCCGTAATCCGGCACCTGTTGCGTCTGCATCATCCTGGGAGAATGACGAGGCTCCATCAGGACTGTCCATGCACTGGATTAGCTGATAATCCCCTCTGCCTTCCCTTCCTCCCCGACTCCCTCACTTGCTCTCTGCCTTCTTCAATCCACTTAGTTCTTTGTGGGCGTCCAGGTGGGGGGGCTTCTCTGTTTTCTTTCAGTTCACTTAAGGCCAGCTGGGAGCACAGACAGAGAGAAAAGCAGAGACGTGAGTTACACACTTGACCAAAGACTAAAGCAGGAGAATTTGGGCACACATAAAAGTGTCCGGCGACTAAAACGTTGGATTGACTGATGCTGGGAATGTTTCCCTGTCGCTCCCTGTTGCCTGAGGAGTCGGCAGCTTCTCAGGAGGAAGAGCTTGTCAAATAAAACCAGGAACTTCGAATCGTCTTTGTGAGCTTTCTACGTCTGAATATTCGTTTTAAGGCCTCTCTTTTATTCCCTGCTCCGCTGTTACACAGATTCAATTTTAATTTAATTGTATTTCTTAAAATTCTATTTTATAAACTAAACATTTAATAAAATAAAAGACATTTCATTAGCTGCAGTCTAGTTTTAGTCAGTGTTCATTAGCTAATTGGAAATGATGTTTCTGATTTTATGCTGTTTTATTTTAGATGGCACAATTTATACATTTGGTTTTTCAATTTACAAATGAGTAACAACTCATTGATGTGATGTGGCATAAAAACATGAGCCCTGTCTGAATGTGCTCCAACACTCTGAGCCTCACAGCTGCTCGGTCTGTCCAACACATCTGTACACAACAGTAACACAGTAATAAATCCACATAGCTGGAGATGGAAAATGTTTCCTACAACCTCTAAAGGCCAGGTGGGTGTTTTTCCTGGATACGTGACCTCTCCAAACCTCGGCCAGCACCGGATTAAAGTCGCAGGCTGTGGAGTTACTGCCGGGCCAATCCGGAGCTGTGATAACAACCTCAGCGCGGTTACAGTGCCACGCTTGTTGTGCACTGGCCTGGGCTCAGATTACCTCGGCTAAATCTTCAACTCATCCCAGTTTATCAACAGCTCCAGGACAAACATTTACAAACATTCACATCTGTTCGGGGGGCATCAATAATCTGAAAGAAGTGTGGTAAAGGACAAACATTTACAAACATTCACATCCGTTCGGGGGGCATCAATAATCTGAAGGAAGTGTGGTAGATATTAATGGAAGGAGGATAAATCAGCTGACACAGTGACCATTCATAACAATAAGGAGGGGACGGTGGGTATCAGAATATCAGAAGCTGCTTTGTGCCGAGTGTAACATTATTTCCTGCATTGCTGAATAACTGTCGACAGTTTCCATCCCTAACATCTCATCCATCCTTCACTTCAGTCATCTGATGTCACAGCTAATCAGGGTGTAATTCACATGTTTTTCCTGCTATTGATTTGTGTTACCCCCATATCAGCCTTTCATAACGTTGTCTTCTTCCTTCATGACTTAGTGAGCAATAGACGTAGCTCAGCTCACATCCCTGCATGTACAGTAAAGTATAATACCAGCACAGGAATTGGCTTTAGGAACACACAGAAGGACACTGAGATGTTATTTATCCCTAAACTGTACCTGCTGACATCCATAAACAGGCTTGTTTCGCTCGAGCTGCCTGGCTGATTACACAGACGGGCTGGAAAGTGTAATGGGAACAACATGCAGTGGGGAGAGCAGACCGGACGCCATCTATTACGGTCATCAAATAAAGGATCTGATGCTGATGAGAAACACATTTTCAAGTCCTGTCTTAGTGTTTTCCCCCCTGACATCTATTTTGGGCTCTTCCTTCAGTCGATGTTGTACTTTTATCTCACTGTTTCCCTCTGTTGCAGAAACACACACTGTCAAACGTCACACTATCTGTGTCACTCTCCCTGTTGGAAGCAGATTTACAGTCACAGGTTCCACAGTGCTCATACATGGAGTCACACACTCAGGGCTGTGTCGCAGCAGGTCAGCTCTGAGGTTGTTTCCTCCACCAGACTGAAGAGACACGGTCATTCTACTACAGCAAACTGTGGTTGAGGTCAGAACATTGTGACCGTTACACACAGGTCTAAAATACAACTCGCACACAGTTTACAAGAATCTACAGCTGCAACGTGGCAACGCAGTCCGAGGCCTGGCGAGTCCTCATGGTGAGGATGTGTCTGCACTCAGCTGTCGTACATGTTTGTCTGACTGATACGTTAATCTGATGATTTATAAAAGAGATGCCATGGCAAAGAATAACATGGGTTTGGAATGACATCTGTCAGTATCACACTCTGAACACAGATGTGTAATGTGACATATGAGTCACATGGCCTGTCAGTCGACCTCCTGTTCACTCCCTCTCACACTTTCCTTAATGTTCTGCCAAGTCAACAAAATAACTCACAAGAAAACACACTTCAGATAACAAATCGCTGTCAATGAAAACTCTTCAGCTGGTTCAGTGACTTCCTTTACAGCACACAGCGACTTTAAAGAAAACATTGCAAAACAACAGCAGGACAAGCAACTGAATCAGACTTTATGGTCTGACCTTTGTCATCATTCATTAGTTTGATGGATTCTTTTTTTTAGCCATGGGGCTTCTGTCAACAGAACGCAGAGGACATGAGGCCAAGTAACAGTAAAATGCAAACGCATCTTACTCCAAAAGGAAATGTCGCCTCAAATATAAACAGGGAGATGCAGTTAATGAAACAAGTGGCTGTTCAAAGAACGGAAAAGCTGCAAAGTCTGTGCAACTCCTGTGCAAACAATGGGATGCTATGACTTCCACTTTAGATTTTCACAATAGTTTGTTTTGTTTTTCAAACTATCTTCACGGTGCATCATATAAACCTGCATTTCAAATCTCCCAGTTTTGATTAGTGTCCTCACTCGTCGTTCTCCAGAGAGAATAGCTCTACGCTGCTGCAGGGACAGACGATGTCTTGCTGATGGACACCACAGCAGGCCAGATGTTTGGTTGGTTCACAAACAGGCTCTTTAACTATGACGCCATCTCCTTGACAGGCTGCCAACGCACCGATCTTACATCTGGCACGACTCTGGGGCAGTTGTTCTGTGAGGAGCACAGTGAGCGATTCTCACCAAACCCAGTCTCAGTTAGCACCAAGCTGCAGCCAGTAAGATGTAACAGTGTGGGAAGTCACAGGTAATATAATACAGTTCAGGGTTCAATTTCACTGTGACCTGCAATACAAATGACCACTGAGCAACTGGGGAATAATAAAAGTCAAGGATAATGAACAGGGGTTAACATAATGTAAGAATTTGTGCAAAAAAAGAGAAAAACTTCAAAGTAATAGTCTCAGAAACAGATACAATGGTGGAGTACGGTAGGTGGAATGCCACAGTGCAGTCTTTGGTACAGTTGTCCATCTTCTTGCAGTTCCTATTTGAGACTCTTCCTCTTGATTTGTAACTGAATAATAATGTTGTCTTTTGACTGAGGCACCTGCAATGGAAGCGCAGATTGACTGGGAAATACTCTGCATTCAAGCGTTTCTACGGTACAGAGCACTTTCTACAGGTTAATTCACTGTCGTGAAGTAGTTGGGCTATTTTATACGAGTGGAGAACACGCTATGCTGTATCTTCATAGACACTACAGAGGAATCAGGTACGTGACAATAACGTGTTTGTCCGAGGCATGTGAGGATAAAGGCGCAATAGCTGCAAGTCGTTTTATAAGAACCAAGACTTTGCTCCAGTGGCTGCGTTATTTTACGCACGGAGACGCGCTCGAACTTCATTTTACACAAAGTCAAAAAGACAGAGTTGAAGTCAGAATGTGTAGTAACATTGTTGGCTAAATGGCTGATTAGCAATTTTCAGTACATGCAGCAAACAAAGTGAAGTACAAACAAAATCCCTCTCTCCGATTATTCTTACCTCATAATGAACTCGGAACGCAGAGAGTCACCTTTACGCTTCTTTTTCTGCCTTCCTCCTCGGTTTGCGGTGTGCAAAGTGTGTTTCCGCTGGGCATGCACCGTGCAGTAGTGCAGCGACTCTGTGCTGCTGCTTCAAGTGGAATTGAAGAAGGAGGAGGAGGAGGGGGAGGGGGAGGGGGGATGTGGTGGTGGTGGTGGTGCGTGGACTCCAAAAGCGCGAATGACTTCATAATAATAGCAAAGTTGAAGGGAGTCAGCACCAACAGCAGCTTACTGTTACAAGTTAATCTATGAGAAATGTAAAAAAGTGTGAAGACATGGAGAACCTCCCTGAACCACAGGGTCACTGTGGGTCAGGGAGGTAAGGCTGTCTTAGGGTTTGTGGAGCTTAAAGGGCCATGACTCTCACCAAGCATGTAGCAGGCGGTGGAAAGCTTTTTCTCTTTCTTTGAGAATAGACATAAGTACATCTCAGCCAGTGTGGTGAGGAGAGACACAGCACATTCTCATGTGAGGCTGAAGGCTGTAATAATGAACCGCTGACTCCTCACACACTGTCTAGTCAGGTTGTGCTAGTGCCTCATGTGCATGTGTGTGTGTGTGAGGAGCCTCCTGGTGCTTGGACTCATCGGATCTTAATCTTGGGTCCTCTCTCTGGTCGCCTTAGACAAATGTGTGACATGTGAGCCATGAATGAAACACACACTCACACACAGACATCGTCCATGACCTTAACCTTGCTCTGTAAACATGAGCCTTTACGATCTCCCATGAGGTCATCTGGGGGTCGTCTACCTTTTTGTTCTCTGTGACCCCTCTTCACCTCACTCTTGACAAAGACAACACGCAGCACCAACTTTCAGTTTGACATGCAACAATGTGTGTGTGTGTGTGTGTGTGTGTACAGCTTTAGCTATTTTTAACCAAGTGATCTGATTCCCCTAGTATAATCATAGTGACACCCCTGGTCTGCAGGAGCTCAGTGGAAGGCCTGCAGCAGATGTATGAAGGACAGTCGAGTTTGGTTTAAGTGAACAGATATCTCAGTGCTACAGTATTTATGGTTCCAGTGTGTCCTTCTGTGTCAGTGTGTGTGATTGTTGTTCGTTGATCTAAAACAGAAATACAACCACATAGTTACAGGCTGGTGAGTGTGTGGGATGTGTGCATCACCACAGAAGAACATGGGTCAGGACATCAGACCTACAGTTGTAGAAAAAACTAGTTCAGATACTGTAGCAACTTCTCCAAAATGTGGATGTCCTCTTTTTTAGTTTTACGCACTTGGCTGGAGGACAGATCCAGATCCAGGTTAGAACTCAGATGTGCTTTTGGAGAAGTCTCTTGAGGAAATGGGACTGATGGGAGAGTGGTGTGATGAGGCTGATAAATGGAGGGCTGGGCTACATGAAAGTAGTCAACCCCCGTGTCTTCGGTTGGACTGTGCTCCTGTTTTCTTAGATTCTGACCTGCCAGGAAGCCGAATGTTGCCCCAGAGACAATGGAGCATTGTAGGGTCTATCCTCTGTGCTTTCTAAGCTGCAATAAAAACTAAAACACACAGGCAAAGACTGAAACACTTATTTCTGACAACCGCTAAACAGTGGCTGTTTTTAGAAACCCAGTCTAAATTTAGGAGTCAGATGTTTTTCAGAAAGTTACTGATGTTCCAGTACAGAACATGTGGTGCTCAGTAGATCAGCTCAGGAAAGTCCCGTCTGTTGAGTAACAAATACTCTCGATCCATATGAAAACGCACTAAAATAAAATAAATATGCTGATTTCACCATAAAGTTAACATGAATATGGAAAGTTTTTAAAGAGTTCAAATCAGGTCATTGTAATATAACAATATCAGAAATTCTGAAAATCCGAAAGTCGTGGTATCTACGCCATTTTCTAGAAAAACAAAACAAATCCCACCTTGTAATGCATCGCATTACATATGTGAACATTTCAGTTGCTGGACACCACTTTTCTCAGAAATCACACAAAATGACATCAGTTCATTAGAGTCCAGAACCTTCCCGCTCAGTACGGACACAAACGTCTGAGTGTCTGATTGTTGGAACAATTTCAGCCCTCAGTTCTAAACTTACTACTTCTAGAGCTTTTGCAGAGACTGGATATTTTATAGTGTCACTACTTGAGCAGAGGCTCTTAACCGAGGCATCTACAGCCCCAAGAAGGTTGCAGCACAGTATGAAGGAGGCAGTGGATGATTTACCAGGAACCATTAGAAGTGTTTTGTCACTTAAACCAGTAAGAAATGATACATTGCACCAACCTAAACCTAAAACAAAATGTAATTCCCTGTCAGTTTGTTAAAACACTTTTATTGCATGTAAGACTTGGACTTTGCTTTAAGCTGCAGTACAGTTTGTCATGATGTGCATCACATTTTAAAAAGCTGACCTCAGGGAACATGAAGCAGTGAAGTGAACAGACACTGGGAGGGTTCAACAGTACTCAGAGGAACTCGGGGTTAACCCCTTGTTCCTGTTTGTCTGCCTGGTGGGCACACAGATGGGGGGGGTCTGGGAGAACTGGTGGACGCTGAGACCGGCCGCTGTGCTTCCAGACATACTTTACTCCTGGCGTGCACACAGATACTTATTGAGCTGGACATGAAGACAGAGACCAGATGTTGTCAGGACTTTTTGTGAAACTAAATGGCTTCCTGTCATCACAATGAATCACTCACATCTCCAGATTAATATTAAATGCTCTTGTTAAACTCTGTCCATCCAGACACAGGCATTGTTGTGTAGAGATTGAAACAGGATTTAAGTATCTTATCACATTGGCACTCTGATTTTATTGTTATTGAGGACTGGTTTTGTTTGTGTTTTTTGGTGGATGCCAGTTAAAGAGGGAATCCCTAAAGCCTGGGAGCAGGTGAAGAACATGGTAAACAAAAGGACATCAGACCTACAGTTGTAGAAAAGACTAGTTCAGATACTGTAACAACTTCTCCATAATGTGTTAAAATACAAACACGCAATGTGTGTGTGTGTGTGTGTGTGTGTGTTTTTAAATCTCATGTCAGTCCACCTTCATCAAGGCCCTGCAAAGTAAAAAACTGCTGCACTTCATGTCCTCATGGTTTCATCTGACTAAAGCGCTTTCACATTATTCGGCCATTCACCCATTCGCACTCCCAAGCACTCATGCATTCACACACCGGTGACATCACCGGGAGCAACTGGGGGTTCAGTGTCTTGCTCAAGGACATGTTGACTGGACAAAGGAATCACTGTAAGAACATCACAAACGCTATGCATCCCTGCTACTACCACTATGTGGCCAGCAATAGATGCATTTTTAAAACTGGAAACTGATGTGCAGCGGTTGGTAGAGCATCTATATTTGCCTTTCCAGCGTGTGGTGGGGCTCGGATTCAGACAGCTGTGTTACACCCTGTAATTTAAACATCAAACCTCACTGCTCAGGGAGAGTGACAGGAAGCCGAGTGGGTCACGTCGGGGCGCCAGTCTGTGTCCCCATCAACAACTTATGTGTGCACATTCAAATGTGACAACACAATGTGACATAATGGGTCAATCATCAGGCCACTCGTACTGCGTGTCACACTGTGTGGGGTGTGGCCGAGTACTGTGGAACCAGGACTGAATTTAGTGTCTGGACTGAAATTCCTTATTGCACCTCTACAGTCTGTGTCTATGGGTTTTATTTTTATTTAACACAGTTCTAGTTTGACGCAGTATTAGTTTGGAAAATTAAAAAAAAAACTGAATGTATTATTTAGTCCTAAATCTAAGCCAAAGATTTCCCAACTTCTTTCACTCTATTTTTTATTTTTCATTGAAACATAGTAACACATTAACAAAACAGGACCAAACATGGGAGACAAGACAACAGATACATGACATTACAAAAGGATATAGAGTGTTTAACAAGGTTGTAGTGTGTGAAGTGTGGGTATTTCCAACTTATGTAGTCTATGAAACGCAAGAAAGGGAAAAGGAGGGGGAAGTAAATGAATAAAACAATAACCAATACTTTTTAATTCTGACCGGTTCTTTTGTCTGAAGGCCCCAAGAAGTAACACTCAGGAAACAGGAATCAGCTTTAAGTAGATTAATTTTCTTCTGGTTAAATGCAGAGTTATTACAGCGCTGGGCTCTGAGAGATGACAAGTCTCCAAGAGTCTCGATAATCAAAAATCATTCACATTGATCTTCTCGGGCTGGGACTGCCCTGTACATGGGTGGTACGTTGCACGTCAATATTCTAGAATGTTCGTATAGGCAGTATGTGTTTGTGTGTGTTGTTATCTTTTATTTTCAGGCGTTTCTCTCTAACTGAAAGTGGACATGCAGTTAGCTGTGTCACTTACTTCCCTGATTCTGTTGTAAAAAACCCCTCACTCATAGTTCAGACATGAGTGAAAAGTTCAAGCCCGCCAGACTTCACGTCTGCAAAATAGCATAAATTAACAATATCTTATCTATAGTTTCCAAGACACTTATCTATGCAATCTACTCTTGCACAATTATCCAAGAAAATAAGAACTACTACATGTTGACCTGCAGCTGAAAATTATAACTATAATGCATTTATAAGAGCCAGGTTAATACTGATACATGGTGCTGTTAATAAAACACAAACAGTCATACTAAACTTTATCATTATAAAGCAAAATAATACTAACAGTAAATAAAACAACTGTAACTCCTGAAATCCAATCCTAACAACTAATGGTGATAACAGTACTACTAATAAAATCAGCTTGTTCCATTTCTAGATGTCAGGTTTGCCCGGCTGCACCTGCCTCTCTC